CTTCTCCACTGACCTTGGTGTCTGCATCCCTCACATATTCTCAGCCTCCTCCTCCTCCTCTGGCAAAATTACTGTGGCCCCTACCTTTGTTTTGATTTCTTCTTAAATATGTTTTCACAAAGGCATATCCAACATCTCCAACTGGCCCAGGTTTGGTCAGTGGCATGCCCATCATCCTCAGAGCCAACAGAGATTGGCTCTGCTGGACATGGTGGAAGCCTCCAGAAGCTTCTCACAGGAGCCATCTTTTTTGCCCCCTCCCCCCTTCCAAAAACTGGGCCAAGCAAAACCAACACACAAAGAAATTGATAGTTATGCTTGCTAAGTTTTTTTTAAATTGACTGATTTTTCAAGAATAAAATCTTTAGTCCCACATAAGTAGTGCCTTGAGCCTTCATGGGCACATAATTTTTATGTCTAGTACTACTAATATACCATTTTGCAAGTGAAAATTATTTGACCGAAACACTTTCTCCCTTCTATGGGCAAGACTGCAATTCTTTTACAAACCAAAGCAAAGTTGACTTGTATTATCTGTGTCCACACTGGAGTGCTTTTCTGGAGAAGCTTTTGGTAAGTACTTGCACTGCAGAGAGACAAACTCAATGTAAGGGACCTTAGGTGCTCTTACTCACTAAGTTAATTATAGTTTTCACAAATAACCTAATCATGTGGAGAGACTTTTTTAAGTGGCTTTATCAATGGACAAACAGTTACAAACCAAGTACTGTAATGGAACTGGTMGTGTAAGTGCTATTCAACTATCATACAATGTCACACAACATTATTTTGAAAAGCACAGCATCAAAATGAGGGTTGCCCTCTCCATATATCATTTTCCACTGTCTAAGATTACTATGAGTAAGCCGAAGTATGATCTCCTAAGTCCTTTCAATTTCTAACAAGCACATTTCAATTTATTTCAGCTAGCATATGTAGCAGCCATAAAATGACAATGACACTGGTTAAATTAAACTGCTAAGCTATAAAGTGAAATTATCTTTTAACCTCATGTTCCTTATTCTTAAGATCCTCATATGGATAAACAGCTTTAGAATCAGTTTACATGTCTTTTATTCAAAACAGGCCATTTTAAAATAAATGAGATCATTGTTTTCACTGCTGTTGAAGATATAATCACTGTCATAATACTACTTGGTTATTACTTATTAAAAAGCTTGACTGGTAAAGGTATAGGACATTTTGTGAATGAATTGCATCTTTTGGAAGCCTGTGTATCAGAGAGCCTGCTGTGAGTAGTGAAAAAAATTTGGGGAAAGACTGTTAGCAGTATAATCCACACCGACATTTTCATTGTTAAACTTTCTGTTATCTTGAACCCTAAGATGTAAACCAAAGTCACATGACCTGGTTAAAGGACTTTGAAAACTCTTGCATATCTCTAATTTATCACATACAAAATATATCCACTTCAACTTTAAAGTAACTGTGTCACTGAAACCACAATAAATAGAATGGTGATGACTTTGCTACACTTCAGCAAGAGAAAGTTATTCAACAGTTTAACCATATAAAGGTCAGTTCTAACCAAACCACTGCCCACCTTTAATTTCCAGTCTTGTTTCAAAGGCTTGAAATATGCCTGAGATATTTCAGTCACAAGATGTAAGCTTCTTTTCGATAAGATATTGCAGAAGATTGGCAGTAAAACATGAGTTTTTCAACTCCATGGACCAAAACATGGCAGTGACAAATAATGGTTCAAAATTTATCATCCCATATATGCTCATATGAAATGAAATGGGATACTTCGCAGGGCAGTAAAAAATCTGATTACAGCTTCTGTAGATGTAGATGCCAGCTAATGAACCATCCAAGATCCTGACACAGTGATAATCACTGAATATTTGAATAAAGAAATTGTCCGTCAATAAAATAGCCAATTTCTGAGCAATTGTGCTGTCCAGCTAGCAAGTTAATAAGGAACCAAAACTCAGTGATTATGCACAAAGACAACACAAGTCTGCACAGGAAAAACAAATTTACATTCTTTTCTCAGTTTATTTACTTCTTCCTAGCAACTGGTCCAGTAAAGTGATTAGACAGCTACAATTCTGACAAAGATTTTAAGAATGTTGCTCTATCATATTTAAAGATATCAAATTCTCAGGTAAATACTAAAGAAATACATTTGTACAACAAGCAGGTTACATTCACACAAAAKAGTCAAAATATTTTTGAAAGCTGTGATAAATATTAGGTCCAGTAAAATTGATAATTTTTTTTTATTTTTTTTTCCTCTACAATTAGCCCTAGTTTAAAATTCTCCCAAATACTCAACCAGTCTTGGGATTTTGATTGGAAGTACCAAGATYTTGATAACTCTCTTGACTAACAGGAACGTGAGACATAGATGCTTCTGGAAAATTCCAGAGTAGGACAAGCCAATATTTTCTTCAAACTAAAACAGAAAGATAACTCCTGCAGCACATCTCTGTTTAAAAACATATAAGCCCTTGCACATTCCAGTTCTGATACAGGAAAATGGAATGAGATCGCTTGACTTAATATCCTGTTTGAAACTCCTCCATATTTTTGTTGTAAAGTTTTGATACTGGGAAGCATTTCTTGGCAAATCAGCAAAGTTATGATCAACAGCTAGACCAAGTCACACCAACATCCTTACTGAGTCACTTTCTGTATAGAGAGASTTCTACAATTTACAGGGTAAAGATCTTGCTTGTTCTCAAATAATTATTATAATTTATATTGAACAGTGATGGGAAAAGATGCAATGCTATAAGCATTTACTAGCATTGACCTCATTGCAGCCCTTCAAAAAAGACCTTCAAAATCCTTGATGACTAAACTACTTTTAATTAGGGTCAGGTTTAGATTTATCAGACTGAAGTCAAATTAAGCATTTGTGAACAGCCTCACAAGTTATATTATCCAAGTATTTATTAGTAAATAATAGTGTTGAATTCTAAGTGATTGTTCTGTTGAAGAGCTAGAATACCTCATACTGTCCTACATCCTCATAAAATCCTAATGCTTAATCAAAACTTTAGGGCAGCCAACCATTCACTGAAAAAARCCTGCATGCTTAAAAAAAAAATCAACAGCTGATGAGATCTCATGCTTAGCAATCACTTCATATTATGAACTATAAGCTTGGTTTCAAGCTCTGTATTGTATTTCCTGCTTAGAAGCATTAAATATCAGCTGAAAGTTTAGTTTTGTAAATTGCTCACAAATGAAATGTTAGTAATTCTTATACCACCAGCTAGGAAAAGTAATACAAATACCTGATCTTGATAGACAGTAAAAGTCTAAGCAAATGTGAAAGAGTGAAGACAAAAGACCATCCTGACGAATACAACTTCATGTTTGAGAATACCCTGAGACTATCACTGCACCCAAAACATTGGCTGTTAATGACAATRGTTTTGAAAGGCCATATTCACCCGCTTCCATAAACTCCTGTAAAAATAAAGTTAACATTGAAGTGTAGCAAGACTTCTGTTATATAATAGTGAATGAATGAACCACTTACCACCCTAAAACTTACATATAAACAATTTCACGAAGATGGACTTTTTTATTGTTGTTATAGCACCAAATAGAATTGGTAGAGCACAGAAATACTGAAGGTAATTCAACTGTTGGAAACCATATCTGATTTGTCATGTCACACAATTTTATAAAACCTATTCAGTTAGAAGGCAATAAATGAGCAGTTGGATGATTTATATACTCTTGCCTCATAATTTTTTACACAATGTTTTATTTTTAAACATATATATATGCTGTATACTATTATGTTCATTCTCTGTGGTCTAATAAAAGCATAAATCTATCTGATGAAGAATGGATTGCATTTCAATTGTATCAGTGTATCACATAGAGCTGCTCTTATCATACCACTTACAAAGATCAATGGTAACTTGAAAATTATATCATTCTATGCTACCTCTAATATATTAGCAATAAAAGGACCCTTTTTAATTTAAAAGTGCCATCAGCTGCTGTCAATCTTATTTTGAACTCTCTGAATTCCTGAAACTGACATATTACAGAAGCAAAATAGCCGTTCGTAACTACAGAGCTACTTCCTGTTTTCCCTACTGAAAATAAGGTTAAAGCTAGCTTAAGTGATAATTCAGCAGAAATACAAAATTTTTCCTAACCTGCATTGTTGTGTACCATGTCCTAATCCAGTTTCCTGATCTCCTTTGAAAAAATATCACTTGTATCTTTGATAAACTTACAGTAGAAAGTCCTAATTTTTAAGACTAGGTAGCTAAGACAGTAACAATGAGCTTTCTTCAAGGCATACAAACAATTCAACTGTAATGTTGTTAATGAAAAATGTAACATAAAAGGTTAAATTGATATAAAGTACCACTTAAAGGAGTGAACAGCTGACTTCCCTTCTCACAGTCAAATGTTATCTCAACAAGCAGCATACAACTTTACACATGAAAAGAAAAAATAAACTAAAGCATTCATTGTAAAGGTTCATTTTGATAATAATCTTCTTCTCAGGATATCTGTGCACAATGACAACAAAATCACTTTTATTTGGTAGTTGAATAGGTGACAACAGTGATGCTAAAAATGCTGACGCTGTTTCTTCGAGATATAGAAGACCATAGACATTCAAAACTTAATTRCCTGTGTAATTAACTATGCTATGACATCAACTAATCTCTAAGTAAGTATCTGTGTTTCACTTATGTCAACAGCTGGTAAACTGTAACATGAAATTTTATTATGCAGTGGTCCACAACAGCATATTTACCAGATCTTCACTAACATTGCTACCCTGGTATTATTAATATTACAAGTACTTCAGTAAACACTAAGTTTTTAAATGAAAATTTGAGATAAGAGTAATATAAATAACCTCCTCCCCAAAAAAAACTCTTAGCCCAGCATAACCAATATGATAATGATTGAAAAATTATCTAAGTCAGTTTTCAGCAAGGTATGGCAATGGGTTATTTCCATCCTTCCAGAAGCCATTTGGGAGCAAAGATCTCTCAAATAGGTGGGCTACTTTAAAATGATACAATCTTAAAAGAGGTGTCATAAAGGACATTCTTTGAAACCATACAACTGTCTGTAAGAGGAAATATTATCCAAAGGTGGATAAATCCTACCATTTGTCATATCTCTGATTGTATTCTGAATTTAAGTGGACAAGAACTTTATCTGCTTAAAAGAATCATTCACTGATGAAAGTATCACAAAGGCACTAAAGAGTTAAGCCACAAATAAGGCACCCTGAACTGATTATTTTGTAGTCATGCAAAAAATCTGCAACAACAATGAAATTTTTTAGTACTCTACTGCTTCTATTACATTGATTTTTGGAAATCAGTCGACAAAGTGGACAAAGAAATATATTACAAATTGTAGTTAAAAAAAGTATAATTGCAGCACAAGAATTTTAACTGAAATAGTACAATAATGGATATATAAGAAAAAAATATACATCTATTAATATACATCTATTAAAATAATAATTAATTTTCCTATTTCAATTAGAAATGCTTAAAGGACACAGTGAGTTTAAATTCTGCTTTGTCAAATTCTGTTGTTCTTTCAGTCAATACAAATTCTGTCTCTGTAGCAGGAAATTCTGTCTCACAGTAGTAGGAAATACAACTGTCATGGGAATTCACATTTTCTTCCTTTACTATCACACCTACTGCAATAGAACCTAAGATTAAGATGATTCAACTGTTAAAAATATCATAGAGACAAAGACTATAGCACAGTAATTATATGGCATTGAAAATTTGTTAAATGCTCCAGTGGTTAAAATAAAATTACTGCTGAAATATTGATCAGAATTTTAACCTACAAATAGAAAAGAAAGGTAAGTTAAGCCACATTTCTTCCTAAATGAAATGACTTTCACTAGTATTTTGGATACAAATAAAATACTCTTTACCTGGAAGAGTTCTTCTTTATTTTCTCATCAAGATCACTAAGGATCTGCTGAAATTCCAGTTCTCCAGGGAGCACATTTAACAAGCAGTCTAAATTGGAAGATTCAAAAGAATACTCTCCTCCCCATTCCATTTTTAGAACCTGTAAAACAGACACARCAAAATGATTAAATAATGGAAAAATGCTGACTAGAAATACCAAAGTATACAACATTTTGTTCTTTGGAAATATTAATGAGGGAAACATTTAGGTGTGAAATTATAAAATCAGTTTTGAATGGTAAACCTTGTGCATGCTTCTGCGTAGACTGCTACAGAGGGAAACTAGGAAAACAAATGTTGAGACAAGTTTCATAGTATCTTTCATTTCCTTAGTTTAAAGAAATCAGTTCTTCTACCTTAATCACAGCAGTAGCTCTTTTATTAAAAGTTTAAGAAAGAAAATCCTCAGTATTATAATCAGAAACTAAAAATAAACACATTGCAGGGTAAACTTACTTTTTGTGGACTTAWGATTTCTGTCCAAGGAATAACTATTTTCTGGAAATTCAGCACATCATTGCAAATACATGCAAACATAAAAATCCAGACTAAAYCAAGTTTCATCTTGCTTTGTACTCATTTAACTAAACACAGATCAAATCCACCAGCCTATTCAAACTAATACACTACCTCTGAGTCTTTATATTAGAAGCAAAGCATTAGTAGTGTTTCTTTCCTGTTTGCTGTTTTTTTCTGCATTTTCTTTTTGGGAAATAATGAGGTTGATTTTACTATCAGTGATGATTTACTACCGAAATTAAAGAAAAATATTACATAAAAACTGGAACCTTCTTAATAACCAATATATTTAATGTCTACTATTTAGTATGTCATATTTCATAATACTATCCATATTGGAGCAACAACATGAGGAAAAAGCATAACATTCAGATGCATACAATGTTTGGGCAACAAAATACAATAAATTAATAAACACATTATTTTTCTTGCAAGCAATATTCTTTTACAAAGCAACAACAGTGTTGATCGTTATCTAAATGTGCTACTAGAAAAACAGATTCAGTTTTTCTAAGTGAACTGTCTACAAAACACATGCTTAAAAAGAACATCAGAAATTTAAGTTGCAAGGTCAAGGTGATTGGTTTTGGTCATATACGAGGCGCAGACTTAAAAGTAGCAGAAATGCACTTTTCTGGGTTTGCTCTTCCTTAACAATGATCAAACAAACATGAAATCCTCTAAAGCCGAGTATGACACACACCTCAATTAACAGCACAACACTGATGCCTAAAACAAGGCTCATCTGAAACACAGGCCAGACAAAGTTAAGAGAATAAAAGCAGACAAATTTAATACCAGCTACTGGTACATTAGGGGCAGACAAAAGCTTCCTCCTGAGGCTACACCCAAAAATGGACCCTGAGTCATGAGATCTTCCCCTTTTATAAGTTCTGTGCACCTCAATTCCCAAATGATACTTTCAAGTGATGATGTCAACCATCCCAAACTTGTTCCCCCCAGTTCACTGTTGTTTACATATTTTGGGGCTCTGAGGCAGTGAAGTGTCCTTGGATTCAGGCTCAGAGAGGAATTGTTTTATCTAAAGAGGGGAGAACAGTAGTTTTTGTGCTGTATTACAGAAGTACTAGGTAAAATATATGAAAACATAGAAACTAAAAATCCTAAGGCATCACACCATGAAATATTTCACAGATATAGTATTATCTTAAATTCTCAGAAGCTACAGAATATTCCTTTGCGAATAACAATTCAAACACTTTCAGCATTTTGGGAAGTAGCTGGTGAAAATGGCTTGGATAGAAACCAAATACTTCTCTTAAAACATTATGGAAATACCAGTCTTTTAATATAAAACTGAACAGATGTTATTGCAAGTAGAGTCACTAATTAAAAGCAGAAGTTAAGTGGAAACCATCAAACAGTGGTTTACAGACCTGAGATAATAGGAATATTGAAAATACAGTTCTTTCTTCAAGAACAGTACCACTTACCATAGACATGGTCACRCATTTACTTTTCCCTTCAGAAATATAAAAAATTTACACAAAATGTGATTCTAATTCCATTCAATACCTATAACTCAAACCTCTATTTTATTCAACTGTCTTGTAGAACCAATGATTGTTGTAAAATGAACTTTATAATAGATATATATACTGCAAAAATACCAACAGTTTGGAATGATTTAGTTTTCATAAAATAGCTGCACAATCAAAATTTTGTATTTATATTTAATCCTAACTCTCTTCCTTAAAGAAGGGCCAAAAGAAGCTTGTGTTCCTCAGAAAAAATATCAGTATAGTTTACAGACTTGTGACTGTTTGAAAAATTCATCAAATGAAAAAAATCACCTTGTAAACATGACAGCCTGGTTTTAATGCATGTATTCCTGTAAGACTTCTATGTCATACTTCTTTGGTTCACTTGTCAAAACAAAGCAATTATTCCTTTCAGTCTTGGTTTATGGAAGAAAAGCATAATTTGATTATTCCATTTTTAAATACAGTTTTAGATGGCTAATACTAATTTCTTCGAAAAATCTAAACCCAAAAATGTTTCAGAAGGAAGAAGTAAGAACATCAATACATAAATTAGCACAATTGAGAAGAAATTTTACTATTACGTAGCAGAACCAGTGCCAGGGYCTTCAGAGTATCAATAGACTCTAAGTGATGATTTGATCTCCAAGTGGAACTACACTACCAGTCTGCTGCCTGCCCTCCTCGTCTCCCTCGGGGGCAGCAGGTTGGCCATAAGCTAGCAAGGTCCCTCCCCTGCCATTTGGGATTTCCCCTCTTCTCCATATGCTCCAAAGAGCAGACAGTCATTGATGCTCTCAAAGAGTCCACCTCTGATGGCAAAAAAACCCAAACAAAAAATGTTTGTTAATAAATAAATAAATAAATATCTTAAAAATTTATTGAAATAGTATGGGGGAAGAACTCTGTTTTGAAACTCCCGATTCTGTCAAAAATATTTTAGACACTAATAACCCACTTTTTTGTGTGTAAAGGAGATTCATTTAACACTTATTATTAAGCTCCATAAAAAGTATCATTCCTGACACAACATTTCAATTTACTATTATGATCAACTATTTTATGTTTTGAGAGACATGGTCTTAGAGAACCTCCTTCAGGTGCAACTCACTAAGTCCCTGTCTTAATATGCCTAGTTTTTTTTGAAACATATTAGATAATTATTACATTCACTACAACATTAAAATTATGTAGCTGTCAATCTTTTTGGTAGCTACTCAAGAAACTTAACCTATGTACAGTTTAGCTTAAAAAGAAATATTTTTCAGGACTCTTATTTTAACCCATGGTAGCAGTGCAACTTAATTTCACTGTAATAATTTCTCACTTCTAACAAATATAACATTAAGAAACAATTTTAACCAAAAATCATTAAGTCTATTTGTAAAAAAAATACAGAATACTCAAGTTAATACAACGGATAATTCATGCTCTTAAAATTCATGTAGCGTTTACCACTGAAGAGCACTTTTTGTGTGCRTGTTTTCTATTCCAGTGACAATCAGATGGAAGCAATCTCCTCATAGAAGTCCTACAAAAATGGTATTTAGTTCCAATTGGGTATTTCTTCATTCTGATAAAACAATTCAATTAAACATAATTACAAAAACATTCCAGTGCAAACATCCATGCGAAATTCCATGGGATTTCTAATTTGTAATATTTATATTTACTATAATAAGCCTTTGTTCTTATTCATACTGTTTGTAAAAGCAGCATGGACCTAAATCTTGAACAGAATTTTTTATGAACACATCTGTTGAATATGCACATCTCAATGTACCCTTAATTTGAAAACAGGGACATGTCAAACTGCAGCACTGTAAGTACAGAGAATTAGCCAAATCATTGAAACTTTTTTCTGTTACTGCTTCTTATCTTACAGGACATCTCTCTTTATTGCCCTAACAATCTTGCAAAATGAAAAAGGGATGAGAGAATTGACAAGATTTTTCATCACTCAGCTTACACTTTCAATGAGACCTTAACAATGATTTCCTTTATCTAGCTTTAGTTGCATAACTTTCCAGCTGCTTTATAGCACAGAAGATGTCATCTGCAATCACACAGCAGGAAGCAAGAGCAATGGAGGTGGCCTGAGATACTATTATTCAATGTGAAATTCCTACTGTTCTGTATATTTAAATATCTGAATATTTAAAATTATTTTGAAAACCACATAGAGCATACATAAGGAATCCACTTAACTAATTTCTTCAGTTCTACTCTGACACAGTAAAAGCTTTTCACCCAATTGTCTGTGGTAAGAATCCTTTTAAAATTATTTTTTGTTTAAAATAGACTTGTAAAAGAAAAGGAAAATTTAAAATTCTCTATATAGAAGAACGTGGCACATTTTTGTTTCTGCTAATAATTATTGAAGAGCTTTATTTAAATTTTCCAACTTTCCTTTCACCAATTTCCCACACTTTGCTGAAGCAAACACAACATTTACAAAAATAATACCATATTGTTCCAGTAAAAAAAAGACATTTAATGCATACAAAAAACTCCAACAAAATAGAACCATGAGTCTTCACAAGGGTTTTATTTACTAAGTATTTTCAATGTCACAAAAAACTTTGAAACAAGTTTTGCTAAAATCATTTTGCAATGTTCCCCCTGCAGACTGTCCACATTCACTGCTGTCATGAACTTACATTTAAATGTTAATTTTACATTCATAAACTGCTATACACCACACACTTAAGATATTTTCCTTTATATTTTTTAAAAGAGAGATTCTCATTATGTATAATTAAATACTCATTTATAACTCTTTTGAATACAGTTTTCTCCCAAATTCTGCCCTAAGAGTCAGCAAATAAGAGAATGGGAATAAAATGCAACTAAAGAAACAGTGCTGTGATCTAAGGCAGCTATATCAGTCCTTTAATCATAATAGTGTCAAAAAGGACTTTGAAAATGCACATTTCTGACAAATAGCATATGCTACTATTTTTATTATCTGTTTTTTTCACAAACTATGTAGCTTAGGCCTGTATTGTAGGCATATGCACATGCCAGAATTTATAATTAAAATCTGTGAGTTCTCCCTATTGTCTCTTCCCAATCCTTT